CCTCGTACAAGATGGTTTGCTTATGGGTTCCAATATAAATGTAGAATTTTAGTGGCTTGTCAAGCAGCACTTCTATGCAGAGGCTTGCATAACGCTCTCTAGTAGTGTCTGAGGTACATGCATCAATCTTAAGGAGCTTACCCACTTTGCTTCCCAATTTCTGAAGAATTTCAATATCATAGAATTCAGTGGGAAGTTCGAGCAATCGAATCCATATGGCAGAGTATGTAAGTTGTGCCTTAGATGCAAGAAATTTCGATTCCCATCTTCTCACAGACAAGAAATGATTTAGAATAAACCATGGCCCATCATGTAGTGCATTTATCATATTTTCTTCCTTTTGGAATTTGAGTAGAAACAAATCAGAGCCTAGGTCTATTAAAGGAACCTCCTCAGTTGGTTTCCATTGCGCAAAGATTTTCTGTTTAAGCAATTGATGTCCCACTTTTAGCCGAAATACCTTAACTATGACCGAGTATTTCCAAGGAGAATAAAGTCTTGTTTTATCACTTAAAGATAATGGAACAAAGTTGTCCAAGTCATAAGTAGTGTTATTCTCATCACTGAGGTCAAGGTCAGTGGTGGCATAATGAGATTGGTGTAGAGAAGGGGGAACGGGTGATGTAGAAAGAAGTTTATGTAAAAAAGAATTTGGTTGGGAATTGGTGTGGGAATCGTCGATTTGCATAGTACTAAGATCGGGTGGTTCATTGATTGGTAAATTGGCTGGGGAGGATTTATTTTCCATGTGATTGTTCATTGCAGAGGTCAATAGTGAGAGGCTGAGTTATTGTAGGTAGAGAGAGGAGAGAGCATTTTTTAGAGAGAAGAAATTTTATTCGTTTTTACTCTATTAACAGAGATTTCACTACCTTTAATGTTCTTTATCATTGTTGTTTTATTTTAATTGAGACTCTATAGAATTTGATTGAGATGTCGGAGGTGGATGGGTGGCCCAAGGGGGAGGCTAGTAAAGCCTTGATTTAAGTCCTTAAAATTTTGATTATGATTTTATTTTATTTTAGACAATATTAAAGTGCAAAAAAAAAAATACTAAAAGTTTGTAAAAAGAAAGAAAGAAAGAAAGAATGTCTACTCTTTAACAGTAATTTTCTTTAGAATTTTAAATACAACTACTTAAATTTTTATATTAGTAAATATAATTTCTTATAATAATACCAAAGGTAATATATTAAAATACATACCTAACGTCTTATTTATTTAAATTATCGCTTATTAATATAAATAAGAAAATTAATATGTGAAGTTAAAGACTTTATGAGTTAAGTATATTATGGTATAAATAACAAGTATGAAAAAATGGCAATACCAACTTTTTTGCACGTGTGTGTATATATATTTGAATTCTAATATAAAAAAGTGAAAGGCTTTTTATAAAAAAAAATATCCTGTTTTATGCTACTAATTTTATTAAGCCGCAACATCACCACCATGCATCGGCAAGTGCTCAGCTCACCGTAGTATGAACCAAATTAACTAAAAGAATAGTCATTAATTAGAAAGTAAAATGCAAATAAAAGCCGATTAATTAATGAATGAATTAGTGTTCACTCACAGCCTGAACAAGATAATGCTCAGCTTGCACCCTGTAACCAAAAAGTGCACTGAGCAACCTCCCTTAAAGATACTCGCGCATTGAACGTTAATATCTGATTTTCCTCAATTCTACAAATTAAAGTTTAGCTAAACTTAACTTAATCACAATTACTAGCTAGCCTAGCTTGAAACATGAATGCCGAAAACTCAAATTGTTGGAAGTAAGTAAAGTTGAAAGTTTATCGGACACTCGCCAAGAGAGATTGCTTCTAGTTTCATCATGCCTTCAGTGCACAATCGGTCCAAGTCTAGTAGCCTTTCCGCTTCAGTCGGAGCGTAGCGGCTCAGGCACCAGGCCATTCATAATCCATTCGGAAACTTCTACCTCTTCATCCTCTGTGGAGCTCACTGTTTTCAACAATGAGTGGGAATCATAACACTATGATGAAAGTGCATTAGACAAATAAAAGAGGAGGATCTAATTACTTTTAACATTGATAACTTGTTACATTGCCATAAAAATATATATTGCAAAAAGAATAATAAATCTTAACTACAAAATCAACTACAACAAAAAAAACTCCTAGAATTCCAAACAAACAAATGAGACTGCCTTTTTATGTAAATTCATGAGCCGAAGTTTAATGACAACACCAATATTAATCAAGATTGCCTTGAGAATAAATAGAATGCTTCTGAGCCAAGCTGGGTATATCTATAGAAATGAATGAACAACGATGTGTCTACCACCTACATATAACTATAGAAATGAAGAAAATACATATGAGAATGATTGAGTTTAGGGGTTGTGAATTTGTAGGGATAAAAGGATAATTGGTGACAGAAATTTGATTAGCATTGTTTAATGCACAAAAGATAACGACTTGGAAGGTGAAAGCTGAAAAGTTTATGCCTATAATTGTTTATTATATGGATTAGTAATTACAAGATACTTAATCTTTACTTTGGTGATGATCTTCTATTAGACAAAGACATCGACTTTATCAGACATTATTAGAGATTTGGGCTTTAATAGGCAAAGAAAGTGGCTATTTACGTTAGCAAATTTTTATAGAGTGAAGGAGAGAAATGAATGAAAAAAGTCTAATTCAGTGAGCTATAATTTTAAATCCTAGTACAAGAGAAACAAGATATCTTCCTTGCCCAAGTGTTAGTGATCAACAACAACAACGACCCAGTATAATTCCACAAGTGGGGTCTGGGGAGGGTAATATGTACGCAGACCTTACCCCTACCCCGAAGGGTAGAGAAGCTGTTTCCAGGAGACCCTCGGCTCAAAAAAAGCAACAGGAGCCGATATATTAGTACCATAAAAATGCATAATACAATAACAACAATATAAGAGATATGAAATACAGAATACGAAATACGAAATAAATGGCTGGTATAGTAAAACTAGCAGGTAAAGCCCTGCATCAATAGACGACCAATGACATTCTTAGTCTAACTCCTAACTAGCTACTCTCACTCTATTGTGTTGTAGAAATATTCACAACTTTCCTATAACCTACAACCTTAATGCTCGACCTCCGTAATTCTCTGTCAAGGGTCATGTCCTCAGTAATCCTAAGTCGCGCCATGTCCTGTCTGATCACCTCTCCCCAATACTTCTTAGGTCGCCCTCTACCTCTTCGCGTGCCCACTACAGCCAGTCGCTCACACCTCCTCATCAAGTGTTAGTGATCAAGATAATTAAAACATTCGTACTTGCTATTATTCATAGGGTTTCGACCCAAATAGAAATAAGCATAAAGTCTTGTTTTCACTCTAGGAATATCATGTAAATCATGGAGAGAGATCAAAAGCATACTCTATATTGAACCATTATTACAACAACAACAACCAGTATAATCTCATTTAGTGGGGTCTGGGGAGGGTAGTGTGTACGCAGACCTTACCCCTACCCTAGGGTAGAGAGACTGTTTCCAAAATAGAAACCCCCGGCATCCTTCCCTCCTAGAACTTCTCACCTTGCTCTTGGGGAGACTCGAACTCACAACCTTTCGGTTGGAAGTGGGGGTTGCTTACCATTAGAGCAACCCCTCCAATATTGAACCATTATTGCGAGACAAGAGGGGTTGCTCTGATGGTAAGCAACCCCCACTTCCAACCGAGAGGTTGTGAGTTCGAGTCTTCCCAAGAGCAAGGTGGGAAGTTCTTGGAGGGAAGGATGTCGGGGGTCTATTTGGAAACAGTCTCTCTACCTCAGGGTAGGGGTAAGGTCTGCGTACACACTACCCTATCCAGACCCCACTAAGTGGGATTATACTTGGTTGTTGTTGTTGTATTGCGAAAATGAATTCATATTGATGGAGTTGTTTATTCCTTTAGTAAGTATTACAACGGTACTTATGAAATTTGCATTGTAGTGTTTAGTGTTAGAACCAAAGAACTCAGAATTTTAAAGTGAATATAGTACATAAGTTTTCTTTACTAGATAAATTTTGAGTAATGCTATTTTTATGTTGAATGCAACTGTTACCTGGATTCAGCTTGGTTTTGCTTCTTTCAAGCATAATTAATTTTCTATAATTAAAATTACTGCTAATCAAACATACAATGATACAAACTTAAAACTTATTTCTCAATTTCCAAAGCAATTACATGTAGAAGGCCTCTATATATGTATGTAAATATGCACTCACTCAAACAACCCATTAACAACTAATCTTCAACTCATTAGATCTTTTAATGATCACCTAATCAGATTTACAGAACCAAATTTTGTTATTATTTCAAATTCTTCTACTTCGAATACCGTTTGAATCATGTGTTATTCGATTCTCATGTACTATTTCCTTGCAGAATGGATCTTGACGTATTATTCCTATATCTCCTTATCAAATCCAGCTGCATTAAATTACTCGTTAATGATTGATCAAATTTGATAGTTTTGCCCTCGGGAACAAAAAGTTTTGGCCCAGAATGGATAATATCAACTACTTGACGTCCATTTAACGCATCCATTATGGCTATTTCATATTTGTACAAATAGAATAGTCTATTTATACAAAATGGTAAAGGAGCTTCTATGATCATCGAGCATAGAAATAGAAATGAAGCGTTAATTCTTACCACTTGATCGTGTTGCTCCTGGCAATAAATATGCATGAACCATTTTACGAAGTACGTGTCCGGATAAATTTTCTAGCCCAAATTTAAATTTAATCTACTCCTAATGCGGCTAAATATTTAGAATTATCCGTTCTTGTTTTATTATTTATTTTAAAGATTATATCATCTATGAGAGTATTGTTTTAAATTACTACCAGATAAAAGGACTTTTATATATAATTATTTATAATAAATCTAATTTGGTAACTTAATTTTTTGACCCAAAAAAAAAAATTCAAAACGTTTTACTCATTTGGTAACTAAATGAGTATTAACTAAACAAAATTAAGTGTAAAAATATACTGATGAGATAAATCAATACACCTAGCTTTCGGTAGTCCAACTTTCGCTTCCTTTTTCGTCGAGCAGAATCGCCGGAGATGAGCATTTCGACCGGAAAAGTCGCCGGAGAGGATTTATTCGCCGAGGCAACTGCAGCTGCCGATGAGCTTTACAGCTTTCGCGACAACTATTTCCCCTTAAGTCCGGAGGAGAGAGTCTCCAAATTGCAAATCCAATCTGATCTCGCACTTCAAATCCTCGATACTATCCCTATAGGTAACTAACTAACTGGATAATTGTATTGTTTGAGCTACTTTTTGGCGAATTATTAGCAAATGCGTTGAACTTATTGTGATTTGTGGTTAAATTTGTGCAGAAAAGAGGAAATTGCCACTTCAACGTGCAACTTATGAGTATTTAAGAGGCAAAGTACTTGATGTAGTTCCTGTATATAAGAAAGAAGCAGAGGATCATTTGTCCAAAGCAGTAAGTAAATAAGATAAATTTAGAATGTTAATTTGATGCCCTAATATGCTCTGCCATTTAGGCTCCTAGGTTTTTGGTTTTGCGGTAACAGTGCGACTTGTGATGCGGTGTGGGTTAGACGTGCGCACGTCACATGTTCGAACCCTGCCACATACAAAAGCCTGATATGGGTAGAGGGGTGAATTCATTATTTACCGAGTTTCAAACCATGTGCCATTGGCCTTGGGGATTTTTTGGCTATTAAAAACTTGAAATATATAGTATATACTTTGCCAGATAGCTTGTAGCATTCTTATTTGAGGTGTTTTTGATTTGTTGCCTTTTAGGTTAAGTTGAATCCGTCTCTTGTTGATGCTTGGCTGTGCCTAGGTAACTGCATTTGGAAGAAAGGAGATTTAAATGCAGCAAAAAATTGCTTTACATTTGCCCTTAGCAAGGTCATTTATGCTGCTATTGCTTTGGTTATAATGATTTCAATAGTAAAGTCTTTTATAAAAGGTCTACAGTTTTTGATAGATATCTTCAATTTGTTATGTTTTCAGGGTCTAAATAAGAATATTCTATGTCAACTATCAATGCTCGAAAGAAAACTGGCTCAAGGTGAATATTGATATATGCTATGTTCTTTTTTTGTGCTTAATGAGCATCATACGTACATATATATGCTAATACTGAATAGTAGATAGGAGGAAATGTAACCATATTAAGGCTTTCTTTTACTGAGTGATCCAATCTAATGAAGTCGAGTACAACCATGAAAAACATTAAACTGAATGACCTACATTGCATTATTTAGCCTTGAATAAATGGTAGACTAGAATTCTCCCTTTCCAAAGATGGTGACAAGTCTTTGTACTAGGAAAATTAAACTCTTAAGTAGAAACTCAAGCTAGTATTGTCAGACTAGTGTAATTCGCCGGGAAACCCACAAATATCACTCACCTGATGACTATAGAAATGAGGCATCCAAGATAATGACGATGTCCTCCAAGCCTTAAATTTGAGTCCTCTATTTGCACTTTTTGAGGTTGTTTTATGGAGGCAAATGGAAACTTGTAAAATTAGTTCGTTGACAGAGTCAAATTGAGAGTAGGTGATGTCAGAAATATCAGTTTGTGGTTTTATAAGTGGCTGGATAATGGAAAACCTAAACAGAATTTTCCAGTTTATTCAATATACTGGTCAGTAAAGACATTACTTTGCAGAATGCTATAATGGAGCTGGTTGAAATGTTGAATCTAGAAAAACTTTGATGACTGGGAGATCTTATTTTCAATATAGCTTATTATATAAAACCCTGTGCGTTCTTCCTTGTATCCTTGATGTTCTTGAATGGCTGTTACAGTATAGTGAAATCAAGTGCCTCTTCATTTAATTGAGGGATGTCTGAAAGAATGATCACAAACAAGGTTTCCCCTTTTATTACAGTGTAATCATTTTCTCTAATTTCAAATGTTATTTGATTATTTAAAACTCACCAAACAATTGTTTCCCTGTTGTGAAAGGGAAGGAAACTATATGGAAACTATGCCTGTTTTTAACTATTAGTTCACTCCTTTATTTTCCCCTTTAGACAAGTAGCTGTACTGATGATTTACAGCCATTGGAAACTTATGTTGTCCTTTCCAATGCATCTTATTCAAGACAAAAATGCTTACTGATGTGTTCGTGGCAACATGGATTGGTCAGATACACTGTGTACAAACTATTGCGTTCTAGTACAAGTAACAGTCTACTTCGTGATTCCTACCTTTTAGAGTATTATCTTAATTTTGAAGAATGTATATTTAAGTTTTCTTTTCTCTATTTAAATTATTTGCTTATGAAGAAAAGTTCACATCTCTCCTGACATTCTTTTTCCTGAGAGGCTTATCCTACTCTGCTCATCTGATTTTATGTTTACTTTGCAGATGCTGAAAATCCAGAAGAAGTTGTTGATGAAAGTATTAAACATGCCAGGGAAGCGATCACTTTGGATGTCAAGGATGGATATTCTTGGTGTAAGACTGCAGATGGATTCTAGTTAAAGGAGACACTTCCTCAATTACTTAGCTCTGACATCCCTTGATATGTTGTTTTGAACATTCTTTACTTAATCACTATTTGCTTCGTTATTATCCTTTTACCTAGTGCTGGTCAATGAAATTGAGTCGATGTTTGTCTTTATCTAAAGCATGCTTTAATTTAGAAGTAAAAGATAATTTCTGTAAGCACTCAATGATCAAGGCATAGCAACTAAATAAATTTAGTATCTGTACTATTTGCTTCTTTATTATCCTTTTACCTAGTGGTTGTCAATGAAATTGAGTCAATGTTTGTCTTTATCTAAAGCATGCTTTAATTTAGAAGTAAAAGATAATTTCTGTAAGCACTCAATGATCAAGACATGGCAACTAAATAAATTTAATACTTGTAATTCAGTGCATGCTAAGCTTCACTTTTCACCTACGGTTACTTCAGTATCCTGTGCTGCTAAAGTTCTGCTATACTCATATTCATCTATCTCCTGATAGATGAACCATAACCCACACTTTATGCATCGAAATTCAAATTTCTTCAATGAGTTTTCGTCTTCCTTTTCTTTTTTGACTTGTATTGCTTCCATCTTTTTTGACAGATAACCTAGGAAATGCATTTCTCACTTCTTTTTTTGTGACTGGAGCATGGGATCACAATAAGCTTATACAGTCATTAAAAGCATACCAGAATGCTGTAAGTATGCATTTTTCAATTTGACTTCTGTATAAAGCTTCTCTTAAAATGCGTCTCTTGGAGTCGGCACCTTCCCTCTTATCATCTTTCTCATGACCTTCAGATTTATCAGCAGTGTGTTGATTCTTCCAAGCCTGTTATGTTCCATGTTTTCTTTATAAACTTGAAACCTCTTCTAATTCTGGGACCCTTTTCAGGAAAGAGATGAAAAAATGAAGTCAAACCCTGATCTGTATTACAACTGTGCCACTGTAAGGCTTATAACCAATCCTCCCTTACTGATTTATTCTGTGATATAATAACTTAGTATGAGAGCTTTTGGAGGAGTTCAGTTAGACTTCATAAAGTTGCAAAATAGTCTTTTGTCTCTAGTTTCTTTTTGGTGTACGTATGAGTTGCCTTTTTCTATTAGATGAATTAGTTTCCTTCGTTGAGAACCATATCTTGGTGTAGATTCTCCCTTTTTGGCATACAGCTTGTATACGGGGTTCTCCCCTTCTTTTAATGAAATTATTACCTTATCAAAAAAACTTAGTATGAGATTCTTTGAGAACATCTCAGAAACATTATAGCAAAAATGGCCTTTCTTGACTCACTTGTTTTCTGTTAGAAGTTTGGTTGTGGTTGCCACTGATTGCCTCATGTTTATAATTATATTGTTATTATCATTACTATAATTGGTTCACCAAGAAAAGGAAAACTAAAGAATAAGAAAATTAGATGGGGAAACTGTCCCTTGTCGAGATTGTACAAGTTGAGAAACCTGTATCACTTGGTCAGCTTCAGTCTGCAGAAAATAAGGGATATAATTTCATATATCTCTTTTCTAGATTTTTCTTCATTTTTAATTCTGCTTCTTCCACCTATCAGAAGTACCCCCTTGATTCATTCTAATGGCTGCATCAATGCCTCTCTATGACCATGGTTCTATTTGCATTTGAGATTAATGAGTAGAATGTATACTGAACTGGTTAGGAGAAAAGGAGAAAAATAGAAAGAAAAGAAAGGGTATATATTGATCTCTCAAAATCCAAGGAATGAAATGCCGATTTGGGAGAAGTGTGTGGGAAACTTTACAATAAAGACAGAAGTTGGTTGATGCTGGGAACTTCATGAGCAAAGAGAATTGTCGATTTACAGGACACACTAGAGCTTTGGATTGAAGAATAGTAAAAGTTATCTCATGAGCAAAAACGAATGTGTTTTTTACCTCATTAATCCCTTCTTTTTTTTTCCTTCTTGAAATTCCATCACCTTTTTCACTGTAGGAATCATGTCGGCATTTTAAGGTGAGAATATTTTTGAAAATCTCTTTAAATGATTTTCTCAATGTATGCAGATATCAATGGGTGCGTAATTGATGTAGTTTCAAGATAATCCATCAGAGAGCATAAGTCTGCAGCTTCAAATGCTCACTTTGGTAATAATAATAAATAAATAAAATTGTCAAACGTTGAACTAGTCTGTTTTCCTACTGAATTGGTAGCTATCAACTCTCTCTTCGTGTTTTTTCTTCTTCTCTTTGTGGTTAGAAAATGATTTGTTAAGATCTACCACCTATACAAAGCTTTTCCTGTGCGTATTCTCATCCTATCTTCTTCTTCTTTTGGCTTGAGCATTGTATGCAAGATATGGAGCCTATCTAAAGAAATTTACCTTTTTTCTTTCTTATATCTAAAGTCTGCATACATAATGATGTATTAAATGATGTTTTCATTTTCCTCTCCATATTTTTTACAATAAATGCTTGGATGGATCTGATTTGATTCTTAAAGGTGAACAAATATCTGGAGAATTACGAGAGGGCCCTTACTGGATTTGAAGCTGCTGCATTAATGGATCCTGGTCTTAATGCTATGGAGGATGCAAGAATGATGGTTCTGCTCCTTGATAAATTAGACTATTTGCTTCGGGTAAGATTATTTTGGTTCTAGATTACTTAAAGCATTTGCAAGTGATCTTTTGTTCTTATTTTGGCTAGCATTTAGGAAATCAGGGCTGGCAGAATTAGAGTGGAGTCTTAACGAAATTCTTCATTATTTTGATTCAGAAATGCATGGTTCCAGGCATAAAATGTGTCAGAGTCGTAGTTCCTCATCTGATTTTTCTTGTCTGACTCGTGACATGTGGAGTTGTGAAGCATTCAGATAGAACTCTTCCCAAAAAAAAGAAAGGGAATTTGATAAATTTTCTATGCATTTAGACATATCATATATTGTTGATATGGAACATATGGGTTTTGCAGCTTATGACACCTGACTTGCTTATTACGAAAACGTCCCTTTTCTGAGGCAATAAAATGTTTGATATGGCAGTCTTTAGATGCTTCTGACTTCCACTCGACGTCTAACAAAAGATTCTGGCTAATGGTAGCAAGGGGAGACACATATGTCATTTGAAATTTGTATGACAAGAAGGCTCCAAAAGGTTGCCCTTCTTTTAAAACATTACTGTGGATTCGTTAAATGCTTGGGAGAACTGGGAAACTAGTTGATGCTAGGAAACAGATTATAGGCAGCTGAGGTTATGCAGGAGCAAGAGTTGTTTGAAAGGGAAGTTGGCAGTGGGTATCTTAATCTAGTGTCAGTGTTGGGTTCACTATGCTACAGAGGTCAATATAGAAACCTTAATAGGGTTGCACCAAATTCAGTGAAAATTTTCTCCAGTTCAAATTATTTTGTCTCTTTAAGTTAGATGATTAGGTGAAAGCAGTTCAGGAAAAGGGGAAACTTACTAACAAATAACAGTTAGAGAAGGCATAAGGCTTGATGATATGCTAGTGTCGAGACGAGGTTTAAGCATTCAGGGTACTACAAGTTGCTAAGTAAAATCAACCGAGAATTGGCCTTATCTTTCTTACCGTTGACCTACTGATATCCAGTTTACCCATTAATGGGTTGAGTGAGTCTCCATTTTTACTGATTGTACTGGCAGGTATTCGTCCAAAATTAGTTGTTTCTTCTTCATCTCTTGCATGTTTTCGAGCTACTGTAGAGCCGTTAAGGTATTACTCTTACAAGAGGAAAAAACAAGTGTACAATTCTGAATCTATTTGTGTCAAACACTTCAATTGGGTGTATAGAACATCTATCATGCATGATGTTTGAAGAATGTCGAATGATTTGGTCCTCTCTCTCAGGGTCAGAGTAAGGCTAAGCGGCTTTCTTCCCTATCATCATCACTTGCTACAGTTGATTGTAAGGACTTTTATTCATCTTCTTAGTTAACAGAAGAGTTCGATAGTTGATCATCCTCATTATGGATGGAGGTCTTAACAGAGGAACTTCTTGCAGTGAGCCCTTCATACAAAAGAGCAACCATGGATCTCCTATCTGAAGGTCTTAATAAAGGATATGCAATCATTGGAAAAGTTCTGTTCTTCGCTAAGAATGAGAGTTTAGCTCCATTGTAAGTTACCTTGATTTCTACGTACCTAGAGTAGTTCATCATTTTATCTCTTTGCTCATTTTTTGTTCCCTTTGCAAATGATGGCATTTTAAACTGATATTTGAACTTGTACTTGTATTCCGCCAGGTACTACGTGCTATCTGATTCAAATCACACGTTTTATGTAATTTCGGTGTATGGTATTCGCAGTGATGCTGTAAGTCATCCTTCTAGAGTTGTTTAATGTCTTTTCATACAGCTCTTTGTTTGTGTTACTCAATTCATGAGATCGGGGATCTTGTTTCGTAATTGAAGAAACATAGGCAAGTTAAGCAACCAACATTTTTTGATATTCATGTCCCTTTTTTATTTTTATGAAGTAATAAATGTCATTAAAACAAAAGGCAAAAGATGGCCGTATACAAGAAGTATACCAAAAAATAGAATTCCTTACAAAAAGACATGGTTTTCTGAATGCCACCCAATCATCTATATATAAGGGAACCTCATGGGTACACCAAAAAACTATAAGCTAAAAGAGGTTGATTTTCATGTCCTTGTTTGTGCTTAACAGCAGCAGTAGCAATATGCCTGATATTTTATATAGTTTTTTCTCATTTCACTTTTCCTTCTTCGAAGAAGAATTAGTTGAAGTGTAGGTATCGTACTTCAGAAATACCTTGGCCTTTCTTAACATAGAAGAAGAAAATGTTATATAGCTGGATTAACCGTAAGCCTGAACAGTCTATTTCATTGACTGCCTCCATTAGTATTACTGTAACGTTGGAGCACCGCCATTTAAGTTTTTCATTTGCTGCTTCAGATATCTTCAAGAAAAATTTTTTTGCCCTAATAAGGCTTGTTCTTTGCATCAATGTAAAAAAGTGAATGTATCATTCATGATCTGATTTTGATCCACACTTCATTCTGACCCCAGATTCGATAAAGTGAAATACATTCATTAAGTGCTTCGTACTTCAAGATTGTGAATGTATCGCCTCCTCTATCCTGCATTGACTCGGAATAAACAGATTAAATTAATCAAAATATAACATGTAGAGCCCATAATGTGTTAATTTTTGAGAGGGAGAATTGGTGAATGTAGAACTAACCATGACTATTCTATTTTACCTGAACTTATGGAAGTAACTAGACACTTTTGGGTTGCTTTGATCCTTTTCCCAAGCTTCCCTTATATTATCAGTTAATTCAAGTATAATTTACTCCTATTGACAGATTAAAGAAGGAGATCAGGTCACCTTATTGGAGCCTTTCTACCGTTTTGTAGATTTTTCTTGGAGAGAAAAGGTAATTATTTATGTTATTATGCAGTAGTTGCAATTTAGTCTATGTATTTTGGAAATGTCAGAAGTTCTTCTCTATCTTGGTCCTGGCCATCATTTCGTTGCGGCCAATATTCTGGCTTTGTCGATTGACAGTTTAATGGTTCGATCTGGTTTTATTCATAATCGCATCTGCAAGCCATATCCTGTGGGTTTTAGCTGTATCTTCCCTAGCAGAGTGGTGTCTTTTTATAAAAGGAACTTTCTCAATGGAACTAAAAAGGAAGAGCTTGAGCTCTTTTTCTCCGAAATTTACTTTTAGCCACCTGTGGCGGCTATGTGCATGTATTCCAACAGGTATATATTTTGGTAATGGTTATACTTATACTAGAGAGGAAATGCTTGAAACTCGACCTCCCCTTACTCCACACGGCTGGTTTGATATACAATGCACGTGCCAAAATCAGGTGTCTGTTCCACTTTAAAACCTGTATGGTGTTTTCTGTTTCTTTCTTTCTGTGAACACCTTCGGACACCCCTTTATAATCATTAAAAGATGGTACTAGCTTGCGAAAATCATTGTATTTATCATGAATTTCACTTTATCTGCAGAATAAGCAAACTCATTTTGTAGGCTTGACCATGGCCCAGGTAAAATTGCCATGTTTGTTATATGGTGATAAAATGCCATATCTGTTTTTTCTAGTAGGTTTGGTACTCTTGTTTACTGTTCATGTTGAATTCAAAATCTCCTACCTACCCACTCAACTCTAGCCAGGCATCCACACTATTCCAAACCCAGTTCAATACACACCTGACCCGCTTGCTCCCTGTTCACACCCTCTGCTGCTATGGCTAGATCGTGGAAATTTGTAGCATAGGATACAGTTAAAAGCAAAAAATTCTGAGCCAGCAGTGGATAACATTCTAATCACCTCTTCCAATTGCCAGAAGTAGATAGAAAAAATGAAAGCAAGAAAGGATTACTGAGTTCGTTGTCTTTCTTTGAGCTAGTACAGTGATCCTTCTCCAATTAGGGTATAATATTGCCAACATTTCCACCAATAACAAGTGAGAGAACCCATTGGAACGTCATTCTGTCTTTATGAATATCTTTATAGAAGCTGTCTTTAAATATAGGGAATGTGAACCATGTAATTAGCAATTTTTGAAGTTGAACAACAATGAACTAGTTTCTTACGGATTCTGGAAAGAAGATTGCCACTTTTGGCATGTGAGTGGTATTGCACAAGATGGTTTAGGCTGGAATAATGTTATGGCGCATGTACTAACCAGTTGTCTTTTAGTGTTTTCACAGTAGTTTGTTCAAATTCTCATCCTCAACAAGTTATTAATTTTGAATACAGCTATACCAATTCAAATCAGTACGAGTGGATTTTGTGGAACAAGTTCTTGTAAATGGAAAATGTTTGTCTCCTCATCATGCAGTTCGTACATCAATCTATGCGCAACTCAAGGCATGAAGAATCGATAAACTTTTCTTGTAAATTTTGGCGGTTTTTTGCTGTGAATTGATTTTCATGTAAATACTGGTCTAGGCAAATTAGCTGATTAAGTTTCTTGAGTGCTTGTTAATTTTTTGGTCTTCCATATCTCTTTCTTCTTCTTCTCAAGACTTACACATTTTCTTGTGTGTTGAAAATTTATGTGCGAGAAGCTCTTTTGCCTTCTTATTTTTGTCTAATGTCAGCTAACGACTTCGTTTCCTTCAGCAGGATTTTGGGATGATATGTTTTCTAAGTAGATTATTGACTTCTTAAGCAAATGCATCATCTAATAGCATCAACAGCCATCTGGTTTGCATGTTTAGTGCATATTTACTGATTAGCTCATCCTTAGCTTGAAACGGACTTGATCTGATGATGTAAGTTGATTGACTGTACAAAGTTGAAAAGGGTTCCCGTGTGTTAGTATAACTTATCTTTGCGAAAAAGAATTTGAAAAAGAGAAAACTATCTTTTGAACACTAATTAATTGGAAAAATGATATTGTATAGTTGTAAAAATAATAGCCGAAAAAATGTATAAATTTTGTATATTTTTGTGTATATATATATTATGTATGTTATATATAAAAATTATAAAAGTTTTATATACTTTTCGGCTTCCAGATGTAAATAATTTTTGGTGCTGGCTAAAAGTGATAATACACCTAATTCATTAGAAGTTTTATGGTGTGCCTTACGTTGTGTGAGGCCTTTTTTATCGTAAAAATTGCACGGGCGCCCTATTTGGTCGCCCCCATTTAACCTATACCCATTTTTTAAAAAACTTTTAACTTGTACTCACTTTTTAAATAACTTCAGCCCCTTTCTTCTCCAACTTTTCTTCTTTCTTCTTTTTAAATGACACATCCAGAGAAATGGACCCTATCGATGTTATTCAGTTCGACTGAAATATTCTTTCAAGATAACATGATTTCATGGTGTTTTTCTGATCAGTAGCAGTTGCATGTTTAGATACTTTAATCAAGCAAGTTTCCTTTTTTCCTATAAATTTTACTGGTTTTGTATTAAAAGGAGATCTTTCTTCTTCCCTTGTTTTTATGCTATTACTGCTTGTGCTTGAAACAGACAGTGCAAATAGAAACTTCTTTTACCATGCACTAGTTTCATCTGTTCTTTTAATATATATGTGTGTGTTATGTCATGGTTATCTTTGTTTTAGACTTGGTTGCTAAGAATATTTCAGTCGAACTGAATATCAGGGCCTGAAGTTTAGCTCTAGAGCTGAAGTTCGCCAGTTACAAAAATAAAAACTTTGTCAGTTACAAAACAAAAACTTCAAGCTCTAGAGCTGAAGTTCGCCAGTTACAAAAACAAAAACTTCAGCTCTAGAGCTGAAGTTCGCCAGTTACAAAAACAAAAACTTCAGCTCTAGAGCTGAAGTTCGTCAGTTACAAAAACAAAAACTTCAGCTCTAGAGCTGAAGTTCGTCAGTTACAAAAATAAAAACTTCAAGCTCTAGAGCTGAAGTTGGCCAGTTAAAAAACAAAAACTTCAGCTTAGAGCTGAACTTTAGGCCCGGCTACTAGAATGCTAAAGTTTTCCGTGATTGTCTTTGCTAATTCAGCCCTGTATGCTGAAGTTATGCGAAAAAGCGGGTACGCTTGCAATTTTTTTTGCAAAGCGGGCACAAGTTAAAACGTGACACAAAAAACGGGTACAGATGCAAATGCCCCTTTTTTATCTCACAAATTTGTGGACCTATATTTTACACTTTTGGGTCCACAAAATTCTGGGTCCACATAATTGTGAGAAAAAAGAGTTTCACACAACTAGTGTCAATTGTGTGAGGTACGAAATAAAAAATTTCCTAATTCGTCAGTTGAACTCGAAGAAAGTAACTACTTTTCATATCCGTTTCGGAATCGTAAAAATACTATGCATGGCCATATAAAACATGAGTTATTGATTATGTTCATTTTTTCGTGGAAAACCCCGGTTGGCCTAAAAATTGGTGGAACTATCATATACTGCCCTGTGAACAATACTCACTGTGACTAGCATCATTGGTTGGCGTTTCAGAGTCATAGGAGTACTATGCACGGATTGTAACACCCCAAATTTTTAGTAATATTTGCATTTTTGATTGAGCATCTTTCTAGCGAGGAGATATTTTACTTCGCACTTCCTAAACGTGAAATTGACAATATATGAAAATTTCTTACTTTAGGTTGTGTTAATATTGACAAAGAAGTTTCATGGTGTTGCTATTGCTATGTGCAACACTTAATAGTATTTTGATTAATGGTTATTAAATACATTATATAATTAAGTTTTTGGGCTGCCACTCTTTTGTATTTATCTAAAGATATTTAGTAGTTGGGCAGCTATTTTTATTTCATATTCATCCAAAGTTCTTAAAGATAACTTTGATTGACTTGCTCTTCCATAAACTCCTCTCTATATTTCATTCTTTCAAGACAAAGAAAACCCTTACCCTCTCTCCTTCTTATCACCTAAAAACTTCATGAAAACAATCATAAATTTTCACTAAATCAACCAGCAAATTCGTTTTTGGTGAAGTTCAAGTTGCTCCTCTCTTTTGTGATAAGTTTTGGTATCAAAGCCTAGGTTTGTGATTTTAGGATTTTTATTCTGATCGTACCTAATATTTGTTGTTATTTTCTTTCTTGAAAATGGCTTGGAGATTATAAATTTTGCATACTTGTTTAATGTAATATTGTAATTAGTAAATTAGATTTGTTTCGTCTTGTAAAAAAAGGTACAAAGGAGAAGACTAGTTTAATTTATTTATTTTTATTTTATTTTTTTACTCGCTAGTTTGAAATTTATATATAATATGAACATGCAGTGAGGTTGAACAAAAAAATATAATTTTGTTAGGAAGTTGCTTTAATGTGTTGATTATTCAAGAAGGGTTATATCACCTTATGTTAACATTTTGATATTGTATTTCATTCAAAAAATAATTATGAAGTGTATTTTCAAAAATAAAAACATTGCACTTTGAACCTTTTCGCATGGGCATATTTTCGCTGCTAAATTATTCTAAATATTTTTTTTGAATTAATATCTTCTTAATGTTGTAAGTAGTAAATTAGATTTGTTTCGTAAGTAGCACCCTCCCAAAGGAGTTGCTACACGGATCCTACCGATGCTCAAAAAGTTGACGGACTCAGATTGACATGAAATTTGATGGGCCCATCGAAAATGCCTAGTGACTAATATCGACATGCTTCACCATGACTAACATCATTTTTTAGCATTTTGGGCCATAAAACATGAATTAGTGATTATGTTTTTTTTTGTGTGTTTCTATACATGATAATTTTTCTAGAATTTAGTTGACGGACGTCGATTGACCTTAAAATTGGTGGATCCATCTAATACGATCTTATGAGCAATACTCACCATATCTAATATTATATTTTGGTATTTTTGGATCATAAAATAATAATTAATAATTATGATAATTTTATCATGTGTGTATATAATTATACATGATAATTTTTTTGAATTTGATTGACGAACTCCGATTGGAGTAAAAATTAGTAGATCCATCAGATACAATCTTGTTAGCAATATTCGCCATGGCTGACGTCGTTTTTGGTATTTCGGGATCTTAAAACAAGACTTAATGATTAAGTCTATTTTTCGTGTGTTTATATACATAATGATTTTTCTGAATTTGGTTGACGAACTCCGATTGGTCTAAATATTGGTGGATCTATTAGATACAATCTTATGAATAATATTCACCATGACTAATATTGTTGTATGACATTTCGCGGTCATAAAACAGGAATTAATAATTATGTCAATCTTTTTTTGTGTGTACACACATGATGATTTTTCTAAATTTGGTTGAGGAACTCCAATTGACTTAGAAATTTATGGAACCATCGAATATTGCCTTGTGAGCAATATTCGCTATGACTAGCATCATTTTTTTGGCATTTCGGGATCATAAGAATATTATGCTCGGGTGTATGACATCTACTCATGCTATGCATGGCCATTTGGTTCCTACTGTGCTAAAAAATTTGACGAATTCTGATTGACCTAAAATTTGGTGGGTCCGTCGGAAACGACCTAATGATTAATATTCGTCATTTTTTGTCATGACTAATATCATTTTTTGGTGCTTCGGGGTCATGAAACAGGAATTAATGATTATGTATATTTTTCGTGTGGTTATATACGTGATAGTTTTTTGAAATATGATTGACCGACTTCGATTAGCCTAAAAATTGGTAGATCCATCGAATACGATCATGTGAGCAATACTCATCGTGACTTATATTATTTTTTAGCATTTCGGGGTCACAAAAGAGTAATTAATGATTATGTCCATTTTTTGTATATTTATATACATGATAAGTTTTTCTAAATTTGATTGACGGAGTTCGATTGGCCTAAAGATTGATGGATTCGCCGGATATGGTCTTGCGCGCAATACTCACCATAACTAATATTATTTTTTAGCGTTTCAGGGTCATAAAATAGGAATTAATTATAATGTCCATTTTTTCATGTGTGTATATGCATGATGATTAATCTGAATTTTGTTTACGAACTCCGATTTACCTAAAAATTAATGAAACCAATGGATACTGCTTTGTGAGCAATATTTACCATGAACAATGTCTGTGTTGCATTTCGGGGTCATAAGAATACTATGTTTGTTCATATGGAACCTACTTATACTATGCACGGCCATTTGGATTCAGTCGGTGCTCAAAAAGTTGACGTAACTCGATTGACCTGAAATTTGGTGGATACATCAAAAATGACCTAGTGAATAACACTCCTCATGCTTCGTCGGGACTAATATTATTTTTTGGTATTTCGGGGTCATAAAATAGAAATTAATGATTATATCTATTTTTTCGTGTGTTTATATATATGATGATTCTTTTGAATTTGGTTGATGGATTCCGGATTGACATAAAGATTGTTGATCTATTAGATACGGTCCTGTGAGCAATACTCACCATGACTGATATATTTTTTTGGCATTTCGAGGTTATAAACTATGAATTAATAATTATATTCATTTTTGGTATGGTTATACACATGATAATTTCCCTGAATTTGATTGGCAGACTGCGATTGGCATAAAAAACTATCGGACTCGCGTAAAAATTGTAAGCAATATTCACCATGACTAGCATTTTTTAAGTGTTTCGGGATCATCAAAATTCTATGCGCGGCCACATGAAACCTATATGTGCTATGCATAACTACTTGATTCATACTGTACTCAAAAAGTTGACGGGCTTCGATTAACTTGAAATTTGGTGGATCCATAAGGAACGGCTAGTGACTAATACTCGTCATGCTTCGCCACGACGAACATCATTTTTTGATGTTTTGGGGTCATCAAACAGGAATTAATGATTATGTCTATTTTTTACGTGTGTTTATATACATGATAGTTCTCTGAATTTGGTTGATGAATTCCGATTGGCCTAATAATTGCTAGATCCATCATATACGGTCTTGTGAGAAATACTCGCTGTGACTACTATGATTTTTTTGGTGTTTCGGGGTCATAAAATAGGAATTAATTATTATGGCAATTTTTTCTCGTGTGTTTATGCATGATGATTTTTCTAAATTTTATTGATAGACTCCAGTTGGCCTAAATATTGATGGAATCAACAGATACTATCTTGTAGGCAATACTCACCATGACTAGCATCTTTTTTTTTTTTTTGCGTTTCGGTGTCACGAGAATACTATATATGGTCAGATAGAACCTATTCGTGCTATGTACGACCACTTGAATCCTATGGTGCTCAAAAAGTTGACGGCATCCGATTGATCTGAAATTTGGTGGGTCTATCGGAAACGGCCTGGTAAATAATACTCGTCATGCTTCGCCATGACTAACATTGTTTTTTGGCATTTCAAGGTCACGAGACAATAATTAATGATTATGTCATTTTTTCGTGTGTTTATATGCGTGATGATTTTCCTGATTTTGGTTGACGGACTCTGATTGGCCTAAAAATTGATGGATCCATCGGATATGGACTTGTGAGCACCACTCACCATGAATAATATCGTTTTTTTATTTCGAGGTCATAAAACAAGAATTAATGATTATGCCCATTTTTTGTGTGCGTACTAGTGTGAGATCTAGTGATCTAATTGCATATATTTCAAATGGAGAAAGTAGCTTGTGGCACTTGAAGACATGAACATTACTTTAAGAGTTGATTAAATTCATTATATCTCTCCCCAATTACTTTTTCTCTCTTTTTTGGTTTTACTGCTTAGTTAATGACTGTAAATCTGTATGCTGACTGAACCTTTAATACTTTTTCTTTTAATCAAAAACCTGAACCTTTAATACTTGTCTGCACGAATAGATCAGAAGAGGCGTTCCTGCTAAGGAAATTTTAATTAGAAAGCTATTGTTTTAACATCACATTTTAAAGACAGCCAAGCAGTAAAGTATTCTGAAACTTATACAGTTAAACTATGGTGCCACCAAAAAACTAAAATCAGAGAATTGTTGAAAATCCATATAGGTGGAGTAAATTTATAGTAGGTTTTCACTATAGTATAGTGTTCTTTCTAGTTAAGTAGTATATGCTTATGTTCTTAAACAATGGAAGGGAGGTCAATAAACACCTAAACATCACGCTTTATTGTTTACTAAGCACTAGAATTTTAAATTACTGATCCAAAATACATTTGAGGAGAGTTGCACTGAATAAAGCATGATCATGCAAAGAGACCAAACCTATACAAACAAGTAAACCTAGATGTATTAACTTGCATAAGTTGTAATGTGAGCCAATGGAGAGCTAGCATCAATGGAGAAGACTACCTGATCGAATCCCCTTTAGAAAAAAAGGGCAGCCCGGTGCACTAAGCTCGCGCTATGCACGGGGTCCGGGGAAGGGCCGGACCACAAGGGTATCGAATCCCCTTTAGAGAATGACTCAAAAACTTACTGAGACCAAAATTGTCAAGGATGCACATGAAGACAAATAGGAAAACTATCATTGGCGGTAATAGCCACTCTGATGGTGAGGAGGATGATATGGAGAAGGGACGGTATAAGGAGGTCGAGGCATAGAACCCGGTTGCTGAGGAGGTGCAGGCTGCTGTGGAGGTGCATTATAATAGGGACCCCGCCATCCAGGATACGCAGGTTGGCCATACTCGTGGTTCGGTGGTGGTTGTTGTTGATGTTGAGGCGGTGGATATGGGGGACCGGAAGCTTGCAAATGGTAAGGCGGTGTAGGCTGCTGAGGAGGACCATAAGGTGGCGGATTTTGAGTATAACCAGGCATCGTGGGCTGCTGCGGGTTACCAGCCATTGCGGGCTGCTGAGGGGGGTGGTAAGTAGGAGTCTGGGGTCGAACAGCGTTGGGCATATTCGCAGGGTCTGTTGGCGGTTGGGGATTGGATCTTGGCACCTGATGGGACTGAGGAACAGAAGTATAATTATAGCCATTTGAACCTTTATTGTCCTGGAAACTGAGACCTGAAATTTGTCTCTGAACCTCATCCATCATTTCTCGACACTGTATGTTTCTTGTCATCACAAAATCACTGCACTGTTGCTTTACATTTGTGATCGCATCCTGTTTAACCCATGAAAAATTGAATGTCAGTTCCTCATCCTCCATTGTAGGAGCAAATAGATATCATATTTGAAATGAGATTAGCTCGGGGACAATAGAGAAATAAGATATTGAGCAAGACCTGCCTAAGTCGGCAGTCACAGTGAGTATTCAAACCAACTAAAACGAAAATCAATTATGTAAAAGAAATTCTAAGCTAAACGCACATTCCCTTTCCATCCTGATTCTAGACCAACTTAGTGCTTTCGTTCGGTTTTTGTGCTTTAGAATCCCAGTATAATCCTTATCCTTCTTCATTTGTTTCTAGCATATAATACTCCTATATATTTGGAAAGTAGTTATATTCCTAACAAGTTCGATTGCTACCTATGTTCCCTACACACGTACTAGGGTAAGAATTAGTTTCTATAAATTGAGTGATGAAATTAGTTAGGAAGCACAAAAGACCAGGACTATGTATAATAAAAAATCGATAACAAAAACTTGTACAATCAAATGGCATTCATATATAAATCAAGGCACATGTGTAAATTATTATTTAGTTGTTAAATTTGAATTCTTGAAAGTTTTAGAATCGGCTAAGCTGTTAACCGAAAGATAAGATAATGCAGAAAACAACAAGAATATCATATCTTCTTTTTGGGTCTTACTGTAGTAGTTTCTCTTTACCTTAGATGATTAAGCAGGTATATTTAGGAGTATAAAGAAAAGTTACAAGCAAATAGAACATGAACCAAAGTGAAAAAAGTACATTACGCTTGGTGGTTAATGGTTATAATTAGCTCTCATAATGTAACTATAGTTTAAAGTGGGAATAATACTTACAAAAAGAAAAACATAAATTCATTGAAAATAGTTTGAATAGGTGCTACCAATAATATTTAAAAGGTAGAGAGGAACATTAAATATCGCAAAAAGAAGGCCCATTTGTTTAAAAGAAGAGAGTGTTACAAATTCCTCGCTAGCATTTTAAAAGTGAAGAATAACTTCTTTGTTTTTTTGATAGGTTAAAAAAGTCAAGAACAACTTTATGGAGTGATTATATTACCATGTGGAAAGCCACAACATAAACTGAGATGAAAAGAAGTGACACAACTAAGAAGTGAAACAAAAAGTAAGATAGCTTAAATATAGTTGGTAGCACACAAAAAATGAGGTCTCAATGAAACGAAACCACAGAAGAATTCACTCAATAAGTTCCTTTTTCGACTTTCTTACAACTTTCAAATAATTATCATATGCAGATATACACACTGGAGAATTATAAATTCTCATGTCGTATTTGATAAATTAGATCAGACCATATATTTAAAATTAACATGTAATAGAAAATGAAACTTAACCCTAAAAAGAGAGAAAACAACTCAACGACAGGTTAATTCAGAGAATATGTTTTTTCAATAATAGAATACGATATAACAAACACTTCTATTTTCATTTGGAAATAATATGCAAATGGTCAATTTTTCTTTTTTAATTAATACAAGCTAGTAAACTGATAATTAGGTGCAACTAAACTTCATGCCCTATCCTACTTCAGATACCATTTAAAAGAGGTTACCCATTGAATGGTCTTTAGCGGTATTGGAATACCATCAAAGATTTGAGCACATTCATTAGGCTTACAAGCTTAAGATTTAATTGGAAAGAGGAATTTAACCATGAATAAAATCCATCGAAGTAGGCTAGTCAACCCCCCCCCCCCCCNGGAAGAGGAATTTAACCATGAATAAAATCCATCGAAGTAGGCTAGCCAACCCCTCCTCCCCTCCCCTCTCCCCTTTCTCAAAGTTCTCTAACAGATGCGAAATCTCATACCTGAAGTGTAACATAGAACTTCAATCCCTCATTGATATTCTCCTTTATTTCTCGGTATTTTGAAATGGCAGCTTCAATTTGCTTATAGATTCGCTCGCGGGATGCTGTAACATTTAGACATACACATTGAGCTAATAAAAATTTACTAATACTGTTGGAATTAGAAATCACCATTGGAACACTAATAGCAACAACATTTGAGAGTAAAACAAATCAGATATCTACAATTATATTTGGGTTAAAGATGGTCATTGTTCCTTTGTTGAAGGTGGCTGCACAGGGAAGCAGAAAGCTTCTACAATTCCTGACTCATTGACAATATTATACATGCATTTTGACTTAATTCCATAGCTGCTTAGGGTGTCCCTGATTTCTAAAATGTGTAGGGTGCACAAGGAATTCCACGCTCATTACTTTTGGGTCATTATGTTTCTGCGCTTCTCATATTGCTAAATAAGAAAATACTAAATTGGTCTTTCCTAATTGACATTTTATTTGCGTTAGTGAAAAAGTCTCTTGTTAGTATCTTTCAATGTTGTATCACCACATGACATTTCAAGCAAAAACCTCACAATTCCTAGCAGAAACCCTGAATTTTTTTATTTTTTTTAAAAAATATTTTGTCCCCGTAATCCTTTTCCACAAACTTTTTCTCTAAATCGAAGTCACCTCCTTTGAAAACCATCCACATTGATCAGTCATGCTCATATTGAGTTACCCTCTTTTTTTCCCTTCATCTTGTAATGACATATTTCCTGAGCTGAACTTTTAAAGTGGTAAAGGTTCACTCATAACTGAAAAAACAGACACCCTGGAGCAACAACCCAGAGCCTCGCGCATCCCGTCCAGCAAATGCAGATCATAAAAGTGGAAACATATCTTAATATGGGTGAGCCAGCAGTTCACCATGTTCCTGGGGGAACCAACTTGCAAAAACAAGAGACTGCAACCTACTAAATATCTTTTCCAGTTAGTAAAGTGAACAAGTGCACATACAAAACTTGTTTCCCAGTGCCACAAGGAACAGTAAAAATCAAAGCTTCACAATGCTTCAGACAATATCCCTGAAAGATAGAGCAGATTAAAACGTACCTTTATAATCCTCAAGATTGAAAATGGAAGCAAAATCCTCATTTTGAGTCTGCAAATGAAAAATATTGTTAGAGAGGATTCAAAGAAATACATTGAAATAATAAAGTCATTGTAAGTTGTTCTGCTCAGAGAATGGGATTTTTTATCATTCGGCTTTAATTTTCCACAAAGATCCTCAAATGTTTAAGCATTTTTTATTGTTCCCATACTACTCCAAAATATCAAGCCAGATAAATAAAATATTTAAACACGGAAAAGGAAGAAAATGCAAAAGGCTAGAATGTGCAATGCATGCATCATCAATTTAGCAGATCAATATCCCTAGAATAGTCATGATATTTAAAGCTTAATGCAGATGCTTCAGCATCAGAAAGAAAAGAGTAGTAAAAAGAAATTTCCCAGATATAGAAACTTTATATCGGACCTGAATTTGCAGCAACAGTTGTTCTTGCGCCTCAAGGTTCTGTGCAATTTCTTCACAAATATGATCATATTTTGCAATCTCCTTTCTGAATAGATCCTCATGGGAACCAGTGGATGTCATCAGCTTAGGAAGTATATCATCCTGTGCAATACCCCACAATATAAATGGTAAAGCTGGATCTCGCCGATCCTGGATCAGTGAGCAAAGAAGCAGAACAAATACCAAGAAACAAGCACCTTTCCGATGGAAACAGAAATGTTTGACCAAGACAAAGTGCAATTCATTTTCAGTGACCTGTTGCAGATGGATGACGATTGAAGAGCAACCACTGAATCGAATGATGTAGTGTTAACCTTATGTGTTAGCTTCTTTAAGAGTAATGCTATTTTAAATGTACTAAGGAGGAATCTGTTTGACTTCCTAAGCTCCAAAAGGAAATGGAAGCTCTGAGAATCTGGTAGACTTAACAAGAAGTAGCTAAAATATATAACCAAAACTAGGGTCATGATACACTATAATGCCCCCAGAAGGACCTAGCACATAAAATTAGCTGCACCAAAAGAAATTCACTAACATACAATGAATAGGCCATCATTACCAGGACAACCAAATGCAATGTTCCTCTTTATTTTTTGGGTTGTTAAGCAAATGAGGATTTATTTACTAGTCCACAATACTTTAAGCAAACATATTATTTTGCTCACTTTGGTGCAAGCTTATGTGCTTTTACCATGATAAGTACTGTCAAGTAGCAGACAAAATAAGACCTCTTACATGTGAACTAGCAATAACCTTTGTTTCCCTTCTTTCGAGGAATTCAAAAGATCATACTTGTTCAACAATCCTATGAGCAAAAACAGTACATACATAATGACTATATATTAACTAAAAGTTTCGGACTTAAAAATATGCCCACCTCTTTAAAATAAGAAGTCAAAAGTTACAGTAAGGTACAAGTGGCTATGTTATCATACCTTTCTCTTCATCTCTTTCAGCATATCTTCGAGCCCTGCCCGCTGAGCACCAAGACCTTCTAATTGTCTCTGCAAATATAAGCACCACTAACTTGAATGAGTTTGTGGAGGTAGTTATTTCTTTATTTTTATTTTTTGAGAAATATTTCTGTGGAAAATATTATTTTTTTGATGACCGAGAAATCCGTCTGGGGCCGATCCTTTGGACCAACCGCAGCCTTCGAAACTCGGTGGATAATGGGCCCGCCCCTCTACCCTTCTCCACTTAATTATCAGGCTTTGCTTTGCATGGTGTGGGAGCTTGAACCTGTGACCTAAGACACAACACAAATCTGTGGAAACTATTATTGTGGCTGCAACTTAAAGATTGTTCATCCAGTAAACAAAATATTCCACAAAATGGATCCAACAAAAGTCACTGTCTTTTTATACAATAATAATATCCGGGGCCATCTTGTACGCACCTCAACTATTCCACCAGCTACCTCCCACCAGCACAAGTACCAGGTAACGTTGTCTACCAGGGCTTAGGCAGACAGGAAGAAATTGAACTATTTTTGCATCTGTCATTATTTTCCAAACTACTTTTGCAACATGCAAGGCTTACATGCTTCACAACACCCCAAACTTGCCCATTGATTTGTTCGACCCGAGAGGACTTTAAACAAGATTATCAGGATACAATTGCTCAAATTTATTGAACTTCATTAATGAGGCTTGTTGTTAAGCTTTCTTTTCTACTGTTGTTACTTACGATGTTCATGTTCTCTTTTTGTATTCACTAATAGAGTATTCTTTTAATACACCACTAGCAGCATAAATTTTTACATGGAGTATCTGAAGAAAAAAAGTACTTCATTCTGTATTACAAGTAATTAGACAATTTTCAAACTGAAAGCAGCTATACCTTTATAAGAAAACATATAGGTGCTGTATACTTTCTTTTAAATAAATAGGTTATATTAACCCGTATCTTTCTTTAATAAGCATCCGTAGTGAGGTATTTTCAAGAGAATATTCTATAGCAACTCTAGAAACACGGTTGCAACATAACCCATAATAAAGGATACAGGAAGAACGGTAACACAATGTAGTCTGGCTAACTCGTCTTACCAAGCTCTGCTTCAGAGCTCCCGCAATGGCATCTTCATTGGCATCCAACGACATGATTGGTCTTGCCAAGGTTGGAAGAGCTGATTCAATCTATCATAGAGAAAAATACACAGGTTAGCCTATGCTTCTGCTAGCCACTCCAGGAGATATATAATTATGTAAGTAATGACTTTAACTATAACATGGCCTATACATACAACAAACTAAGGAGCAAGCACTTCAAAGTTGTGTAGTCAAAATCAGATATCTACGAATTCAAATCTAGTCATTTTAACCAGTTAAAATAAGAATGGCAGCATATATTAAATACATACTAAGAAAATCACCAAGCTCTCCCAATGGCACAAGCTATCGACAGATTTTATCTTTGAAAGCTCATGAACTCAATTTCCACAATTTGACAACTATCCTAAGAACACCCACTAATAATATGTCTATTTACAGAACCAACAGCATGGAACGTCAGATATCTTTTCTACATGTCTTGATGAGTAAAGTTCATTTGACAGAGCTAAATATGCATCACATGACTAGTTATCTAAAATAAGGTTTCACAAAGAATCTAAATGCTAAATAAATACATACTGGATGGCGATCAAGGATTGACATGAGTGCTGAATGATCCCTCACAGATCGTTCAATCCTGGCATCACTCTCTGCAGCTTGCTTCAAGTTAGCTGCAAACCTGTTCAATCTGTCCTGTAGGTTCTTTGTTAGAGTACTAGATTGAGGCCTTGTCCATCGTGTTCCAAATTGACTTCTAAATTGAGAATCTTCTGTTGCTTCTTTTTGCAAAAGCTCCTCAGTTTGGACCAGTAATTCCTGGTTCACCCTCTTCAGATCTTTGAGCTGCTGCAGCTCAGCTTCTAAACCAGCTGGACCACCACAAACTTGAACTGCCTCTACATCTTCTTTTAAGGCCATGGGCAGAGTCAAGTTTCCCTCCAAAGCAAGAATAGAATCAGGCAAGTCCATTTCCCTGAGCCTAACTCGAGCTAGCTCACTTCCCCGTTGCAATCTCTCAGCTTGAGACCTAATGACGTCATCAACCATTTCGGTGTACCTAGAAAGAGCTTTAGCGCTGTTATCAGGAACAAGACTGGCAAACATCTTCTCCTTGCTTGCATCCAGGACATCATTCATTGGCATAGGTTTGACCAATGAAAATGCTGGAAGAGGAGCCAGAGAACTGGCTTGAGGAACTCTCATGAGGTATACTCTATCATTCTCCTTCACAGCTCTCGCCAAGTTTTGATTTAAATTAGCCTCGAGCTTATTAATTGCATCCAAGAGCTGCTGCGCTGCTCCCTTTGGTGATGTTTTTTTGGCCTCAGACAATGCACTAATCCCACTCTTCAACCTCGCAATTTCCTCTGCAATTTCTTCTTTATCGTGGAGCTCCATACCGTACCTATAGCAGGCCTCAGCATAAAACAAGGCTGCCTTGAGCTGAACATGAGCCAGCCAACCCTTATCAAAGTGGTAGTTCAGAGGTGCAACATTTAATGCTGCCAAAGCTTCCTCGTAATAAATCCCTGCCTGTAATCATATGTGCAGTGCTCATTTTAAAATTACATGTTGCATGTATTAGTGCAAAGAGAAAATTCACCAACTTACACCAAAACAGCAGACAAATCAGAAAATGTCATTGCCAACATAATATCCAGAATGGCTATTTTTAATATATTATCAAATATCAAGAATGCATTTCGTTGAATCGTCTGCAAGTCGAGTGTTTGTTATTTCCATACAATCAAATAAAATGTTGACTAAACCACAGAAAGTATGAAGTGGCAAAGGCTGAAATAAATAAGGTATTATAACCAATAGAGAACCTGTCTTGAAATCTTTGCACAGACTCCAGGGGTGCTTCCCTTGGCAATAGTATTCTCAAAAACGCACTCCTGAGCCTGAGCTAGCATGAGTCTTTCCAACATCCCAGCACATTCCACTGACATGTCAACCGTGGTGGAGCTACCCATTGATGCCTTCATTGCCACATTGTCTCTCAGGAACGCAAAAGCCCCAGCTGCAGCAATAAAGGAATGTGATGCCTGCCTTCGCCCCTCCACAGCTGATCGATCCAAACTCAAACCCATCTGACTGTGCACTGCTCCCAAATTGAACAAAACTGCAGCTTTCTCTGCGGCAAACCAAAAAATAAAAAGCTAGATTACTAATATA